CGTGATATATGACACTCAAAAACGCGCCTCGTTCGAAGTTTGTCGTTTTTTTCCGAGTGGTTCTCGTTTTTATTATTCTTTCTAGTACTCCCACTTTTCAGGATATATCCTTAGTGTCACAGATTACTAATACAAATAGCAATATTTGTTTTATATCTGGACTTACCTTTGTAGTCACTGGATATTATCCTTCCTACTTTTATTGTTTCAGATTACTGATTAAGGTGTTACCACATAGAGCATCTGACTCTCAGTGCCCATATTACTCTTGTCTTTTGTTTTGACGTAAAATCAAACAACCTAAGTCTCATATACTTGCAGTCCGACAGTTCTGTATTAACTTTATACAAAATGCCAGTTAAGCTATCGAAGCGTCGTGCTTCATTATCGGCTGAAAACTTCAGCAAAAGACATAAATCTAGCAAGCCTAAACAGCATCCTACTACACTTTCCCCTGATCTGACACAGGTGCTAAATATGTCAAAATCGGAAATCATTACCTCTTCACCTTCTTGCGTAATAAATGATTTTATCAGGGATATTTGCAATGGTACAGGTTGTGAGCCAAGCATTTTGGATTCTTATCAAGCCACACTGGCTGTTAATAAAAAGTCTGACACCGGCTCCTCTGATGTGGTTGAATCTACACCCTCCATTTGCCCTGCTCAGGACTGTCAGTCAGAAGGTCCAAACATACATGTGGCCTCACTATCATCTATACATACTAATATCAAATCTTCTGACTGTGTCAAAATAAGTGTCAACTCCCCCAAATGCTTAGTAACTTTAGACGTTGACCTTGATAATCATTGCAATACACAGGCAGATATACTGTCATCTAGTTCCATTCAATTGGATGTTTAGAGATTGACGGTATCGACGTTCGCGAGTTGTACGGATTATACTAACGCAAGATCTTATACCAACAACCACTATAGTGTTCGTTCTTCGAGTACCAAATGGTAAAGCAAAAGACCAGATTTTGTCGTCCAAATACGATATATATTTTGGGACCAAATCGCGGGTAGGAATGAATGCTTAGCTAGCTAGTAATCGTGCACGCACGTGACACGACGAAGCACCAAATGGCGGGGATGCTTGACCGTAAGCCTTCAGCTAAACAAGTCGACTTAAACAGTGATGGTCAGCATCCAATGTTGAGTGATGATTGCTGTGGTTAATAGTTTTGGGGAATTATTTACCGCTACAGCTCACTCCCCCCCTAGTGGGTTTGTGAGGACCCTAAGACATGACCAGCCGTAAGTAAAAAAATCTCGATGGTTCCCTTATGGGTGAAAAAAATCTTCCGAGCGGCTTGATTGAGAGCCTGCTGGTCTGTCTGCCTATGCTAATAGGGTGTCTGTACATAGCTTTCTCAGTGTTGTTCGTTGGATCCCGTGCTTCGTTTGTCTCCTGTCCAGTGCCCGTTGCACCTGGAAAAGAAAACAAGAATGCTGAGAACCTTGTCAAGAAAAATGTACCAAATAGGCGTTTTTTTTTACCAAAAAAAATATGACATGCATCTACTATACAGTAAAATAATGTAAAGTTCAAAATATCGGGAAAAAATATATACATCTTATATAATTTTATGTACGGTTATAGGAAAAATATCATTTACTTGTGTTAAATGACGCAACATAAAAAGAATTGATGTGTCACTCAGTTATGTGAGATAGGTGTGAAGGTATTCTGGGAATCTAACGTGACGTCCAGAACGCGTTTTTTTAGAGTGATCGACCGAAGGTTCAGTGGCTTTCGCCGTGCTAGGGAGTTCTTCGAAGACTGAAGTAGATTCAATTACTTGTGAATTATCGGGTACGTTAAGCTCCAGGCTAATAGGATTACCTTCCAAGTAAGCCGGTTTCAGACGGTCGATACTGACGGTGTCTTCGCGGCCTTTTTTGTCTAAAACGAAGAATTTATCAGTACGTTTAATCACTTTATATGGTCCGTCATATGGGGGTTCTAGAGGACGACGTACCGAGTCGCGACGAACAAATACGTGTGAAGAAGTTTTTAAACAAGGGTGAACAAAAACATCAATGGACTGTGGTCGGAGGGGAGCAGGTTTAACTGAACGCATAGCGTTTGTAAGCCTGCTGACGTATGAGGAGTGATCTACCACTGGTGGGAAGCTCGAGGGAGAAACAAACTCACCTGGCAGTCGTAGTGTTGTGCCATATACTAGCTCAGAGGTAGTACAACCAGCATCGGTTTTTAAGGCGTTTCGTATCCCTAGGAGAACTAACGGAAGGGATTCAGTCCAGTGGGTGTTATTTGCAGCTGATAAACCAGCTTTCAACTGTCTGTGTAGACGTTCTACCATACCATTCGCTTGAGGATGGTAGGCTGTCGTTCGAAAACGCATGCAACCAAGGATTTTAGTCAAAGCGAAGAATAAACCGCTTTCGAATTGCCGCCCACGATCAGTTGTTATGGAAGATGGGCATCCAAAGTTTGCGATCCATCTCTCTACAAAGACGCGTGCGACAGTTTCAGCAGATATATCCTTGATGGGTACTGCTTCAGGCCATCGTGTGAAGCGATCGATGCAGGTTAACATATAGGTGTATCCATGAGATTCTGGAAGGGGGCCAACTAAATCTACATGGACGTGTTCGAAACGGGCATCAGGGATAAGAAAAGTGCCAAGGGGGCTTTTAGTGTGTCGTATTACCTTGCACTTTTGGCAAGCTAAACACGTCTGTGCCCATTCCCTTACTTCCTTGTTAATACCAGGCCAGCAAAACCTACTAGTTACGAGTTTGACAGTAGTTCGAATACCTGGATGGGATAAGCCATGCAACGTATTGAAGACGTTACGGCGATAACTTTTAGGCACGATGGGGCGAGGAGTACTAGTGGAAATGTCACACAGAATAGTATCCTTTCCTATACCTAAGGGTTTCTTGGCTAGTTGTAGAGTTGTTTTCGACAACTCACGCTGAAGCTCAATATCTTCTTTTTGAAGACGAGCCAGTTTTACAAGGTCTATGCCGTCGATTTCGGTGAAAGAACAAATACGTGACAAGGCATCTGCCACAGTGTTGTTCACTCCGGAAACATGGCGAATATCTGATGTAAACTGTGAAACGTAATCTAGTTGTCGCGATTCCCTGGGTGAATACTTATCTGAAGTTGAGTTCAGAGAGTACGTCAGAGGTTTGTGGTCAGTAAAAATGATGAATTCACGACCCTCAACTGAATGTCGAAAATGACGTAGAGCACAGTACATAGCTAGAAGTTCTCTCCCGAATGTGCTGTACTTCGTTTCAGTTACTTGAAGGCGCCTCGAGAAAAAGGCGAGTGGTTGCCATTCGTTGTTAACTAGTTGTTGCAGAACTGCGCCGATTGCAGTGTCTGATGCATCAACCGAGATACTCAACGGTGCCGTTGGATCCTGATACATAAGAAGGGTGGCATCTGCAATAGCTTTCTTTACCTGAGTAAAAGCATGTCGAGCAGACGTGTCGAGTTCGATAGCCTTGTTGTTCCCTCGAAGGAGATCGGTTAATGGCTGAATTAGAGAAGCACAATTAGGAATAAAACGTCGGTAATAACTTACCAAGCCGTTAAAAGTGCGAAGGCATTTTACTGTCTTTGGCTCCGGAAAGTTCAGTATTGCTTCGACTTTGGTAGCCAGTGGGCGAATACCCTGGCAGTCAATAGTGTGACCCAGAAAATCGAGTGAGCCAACGCCTATTTGACATTTCTGTATATTGATGGTAACACCATGTTGGCGTAACCTTTCAAATGCCAAGTCCAAGTGTCTAAGGTGAGTTTCCTTATCTGGACTGGCAATGAGGCAGTCGTCTAAGTATGCGTATACAAAGTCGAAACCGCGAAATACTTCGTTGATGAAGCGTTGGAATGTTTGGGCCGCATTCCGGAGGCCGAATGGCATACGTAGGAATTCGAAAAGTCCAAAAGGCGTGATGATAGCCGTTTTCGGAATATCTTCCGTTGCCATCGGGATTTGGTTATATGCTTTAACCAAGTCGATTTTGGAGAATATAGATGCTCCAGATAACGTTGCCGTCAAGTCGTGTATGTGAGGCAATGGGTAGCAATCGGGGGTAGTTTTGGCGTTCACTCGCCGGTAATCACCAGTGGGTCGCCAATCGTTGCTATCCTTTTTCGGTACCATATGCAACGGGGATGCCCATGGACTATTCGATGGCCGAATGATGCCAAGGGTGAGCATATGATCGAATTCGTTTCTGGCAATTCTCACTTTGTCAGGGGCCAGTCGTCGTGCTTTAGATGTCACGGGCTGTCCTGAGGTTATGATGTGGTGCATAACATTGCTGGTTATACACGGGAGGTCGTTAGATGGGCAATTCAGTTCCGGATATTTATCAACAATCGGTTGAAAAGTTGGATCGAGGATTGCTTTCATCTTAACGATTGACAAACTGGGGCCACTGTAAGTTATGCCTTTGATAGACAAACTAGTAGTGTTGTCAATTAATCGTTTACGGCGGACGTCTACGAGCAAATCATGATGATTAAGTAGGTCCGTGCCAATGATGGGCATTGTGACGTCAGCGATCAGAAAAATCCACCGAATAGGTTTGCGTAAACCTACGTTCAGATAGACGTATTTCCGACCATAGGTTGCAATTGGTTTTCCATTTGCAGCCTGTAGGTTGAAGTTAGGATCCTTCTGTCGATCTGCTGCTGTAGCAGGAAGGACGCTGACTTCGGCGCCTGTGTCGACTAGATATCTAGTCTGGCTAATTACATCATGGATGTAAAGTAAGCGGCTAGTGCCACCGGCGACGGTTGCCGCTAACGCGTGCCGGCGGGATAGTTTCCCACAGACTTGGAGGCTTTGCCGAAATCACAAGGTTTTCGACAACATTTCGCTTCCTTGCCATAGGTGTTGTGATACCAACACCAGTCAGGATTTTTGACAGAACGTGTGTTGGACTTAGATCGTTCACGTGCGTTTTGCCGTTGAGGGGATCTAGAACGACGGTTTGAGGAATTACTAGGCTTGTTTGACCTAAGCATCTGCTGGACGGAGTTGATTAACTCTATCATTGCAGAATCCTTCTTCGAAGTCTGTTCGGTAACAGAGTATACTTCGGTAACTGGCCGTTTCGTTATCTCTAGAATTCTATCTGCAGAGACAGCTAAATCATCTATGAGAACACCCTGAAGTGTCACAAGTACAGTCTGAACTGACTGTGGCAGTTTGGATAGAAATAGTTCTCTAAACAGTCCTTCATCGAACTGACTTTGGCCAATGATCTCTTTCATTCTTGCCAGCATGCTCACGGCTGACTGATCTCCTAACTCGATGTTACGAAATAACTCATCCAGACGTTGTCGATCTGTGAGAACGTTTCTCTTGAGTATGGATGCTTTTAGCAACTCGTACGAGTTACTTACCGACATCTGCAGAGTTACGCACCTGCTGAATTCCCGCGGTAGAGCGTGAATAACTGCAAGGAACTGTGAACGTTGATCAGTTATGCCATGTTCACAAAAATCAGACTCAGCAATCTGAAACCACGTTTCAGCATTATCGGGTCAATATGGTACTAGCTGGATTGTTTTGGCGGCTGAGCGAATCTGAATAACCTTGGGGCTAGGATCACTCATGACGAAAAGTATGCCGATAACAATATAGTACAAGAATAAACACAAAAAGGAACGAACTCACCGGGTTTATCTGAGTGTGAATTGAAGATGTAGTTCGTGGTTGGGCTCATCAGTTTAGAGGGCAGTAGGTATCGAACGTTCGCGAGTTGTACGGATTATACTAACGCAAGATCTTATACCAACAACCACTATAGTGTTCGTTCTTCGAGTACCAAATGGTAAAGCAAAAGACCAGATTTTGTCGTCCAAATACGATATATATTTTGGGACCAAATCGCGGGTAGGAATGAATGCTTAGCTAGCTAGTAATCGTGCACGCACGTGACACGACGAAGCACCAAATGGCGGGGATGCTTGACCGTAAGCCTTCAGCTAAACAAGTCGACTTAAACAGTGATGGTCAGCATCCAATGTTGAGTGATGATTGCTGTGGTTAATAGTTTTGGGGAATTATTTACCGCTACAGATGCTTTTGAGCAGGCTACACATATGCTGGCACAGAGGGCAGATTGCAGCACCACCGCTACCCTTAACAATAAACCTCCCCATCGCAAAAATTTCCCTCGGTCATCAGTGACCCATGGACACCAACCTAATGCCAAATTTGGAAAAACAAATTGCTCATTGCCTACGCAAAACACATCCAAACAAGCCAATAGCCTGGAAAGCACAAACATCCTTCCGTTATTCCATGATCTCTTACCCCTTAGGTATCTGATAAAGCCTGCTGATTATCCTGACTATGATACGCTACAGTCTTGTGAGAGAATTATAGACCATATTTCCACGGAAGTGTTCAAGCGGGTTCAGTGCATGCATAATGCAATTGTTTTCAATGTGCCCGACACTACGAACATTAAAACATTGAAAAACGCACTTTTAAAGGCATGCGAAATACCAGATTCCCATTGTACCTGCAAACGACTGCGTAAGTCTTCAGCTAATACATCTTGTCCAATAATGTTCGAGTTTAATAGCATTGTGGATGCTAGCCGCTTAGTAAATAACCAGCATTTCTTTAGGAAAGCAAGTAGCTTTAAAAATGTACGTATTATTCACGACAGGACACCAATCCAGCGTCGTGCCAAACAAAGTATCCCAGCAGATGAAATAAATCATCAAAAGGATACAACCGGCCCCACTGATGTCAATACAAAACACCATATAAACCCTAAAAGAAGCCCTCCACCTAGTTACCCTAAAATGAAGCTTGATATGGTTACCAATACTAAATCTAGTATTTCTCCAGTTATTAAACAACCTGATAAGCACTCACTTGCTGCAAAAGATATCAATAAAAATCTCACCCGCCATGCTAGAACTATCGAAAACCCTTGTAATATCTTCACATCTAGCTCTAAGATTCTGAGTAAAAATTTAAGGAACAAAATTCCTATGCCTGCCATACACTCCATCAAGCCTGATTCAGCGTCTCCTATTACTCATGCACTTAAATCTCCCAAAAGGACGTCTATGGTATCAAATAGAACTGACATTAGTCAACCTATCTCATTCTCTTTTCCTCACCATTTTAATACAACCAGTTGCAGCTACCCAACTTCTACTATGAGGTTGCGTAATACCAAATTTAACTATGCCCATATTCCTGGTGCACAGCCACATGGACTCAATCGCCTAAGTTTTCAGCATAGCCTGCTTGGGGATCCACCCAGTAAATGCTACTACCCCAGAAACACACTCCCCCGACACCAAGACCGTCTTTACAACTTTCCAACTAATCAATCCCCTTATCATTTTTTCTCTTTTCCGCACCCGACAGTAATGCCACCAATCAACCTGATGTCAAACAGTCTGTTTCCTTACTCTCAAATGTGCCCTCTTCAGACACCCAGGATACCCTAGTTTCCGTATGCCTATCTCCATGCGATCGTGAACTGAGCGATCACATAACCTTAACGAAAACGATGAAGGCTTTGTGGACCGAACACTCGATGTACCGGTCAGACTGTCATCTAATTTTCATTTAACCTCAGCTGAATCACATCATCATCTCCTTCACTTTGCCTCAGCCCTTACCACTGATCAAAGATCATTTACTCATTTCCTTATAAACACTCGTTCAATCTGCAATAAAATTCCGTACCTTCACTCCTTACTTTCACTTTGTATGCCCTCAGTACTGTTGGTTACTGAGACCTGGTTACCATCTGACTTCAATGACAGACTGTTAGAATCACCAGGATACACACACTTTAGACATGGTAGAGACAAAGGACGTGGTGGTGGTTGTCTTATCTTTGTTAGCAACAAATTTCACGCTGTAGAAGTTGATGATTTGGGTTGCTCACTTACAGACGCAGTATGGGTTACACTCAACACTAACTTAAATACAAAACTTTTATTGGGATGTATATACCACCCGCCCAATTCTGATACTAACACAACGAACCATTTGTGTGAAATTTTCGAACACGTCTCCTCCCTAAACTTTGACTATAAAATAATAGCTGGCGACTTTAACATGCCTGGTATCCAGTGGAATAGGCTAAATGTTCCTAAATACACTGACCGTTTTATAAATTCGGTTGAATTCTATGAATGGACACAAAATGTGAATCACCCCACACGTAAATCCAACATCTTGGATCTAATCTTCACACACAACATCCTTCCCGTCAGCACTCGAGTTGGGCCTTTATTCCCTGGTAGTGACCACAACACGGTCATTTCCACTTTTAACCTAGCAGCAAATGGGTCAGGCAAAGGCCGTCGTCGGACAGTAAAAGTCAGGGACTTTTCAAAGGCTAAGTGGGAAACAACGCGGTCTTTTATTCATTGCCAAGACTGGGATACCTTTTTCTCCTCGGTAGACATTGATACCGTCCTTGACAGTTTCTACTCCAACATATCAGTTTGCTTCAACGAATCTATCCCTTGGTATACATCCAAAGGCAACCGTGTAAATCAACTATATAGACCGAATGCTACCAGGAACAAGCTAAGAAGACTCCGTAAAACCTATAATAAATCTATGGACTTCTCCTCGCTCATTAGCATCCTAAAGGTATATGATAAAATCAGATCAGATAATGCCAGTAAAATTTACAAAGAAGAACTTGTC